TCTCTTCTGTTATTGTCAATGGGTTTGAGGTAACTCTATTTTTTGCTTTATTATTCTTCAGTTCCTTGAATGAATTCATATCAATGAACGAATTCAATGAATTATAAATATTCGCTGTTGTTTTTGTCATAGAAAGCTCTCATTATTGATATGATATTCAAATCCATCCTCAACTGACGGATTATTTTAACAGTTTTCCACGACTAGTAATTCTTTATCACAGCTCGAAATATTCAATCCGCAATGTTTGTTATTTAATGAATACATGTCACTATAACGCAGGATATATCTTGCGTTGAAGCGATCTATATACTTATATCTATAATGAATAATTAAATAATATATACATATAATGATAAATCAGTAGGTAATGGTTGTTCGGGTATGTATACTCACATAACTACTTCTTGTTATTCATTCTGATTTCGATGTATATATATAGTTAAGTACCTCGGTTGGGTGAAAGAGAAAAATTTGTCTTCGGACACTTTTTGAACCCTGCCAATTGACAGATGGGAGTGTATCATCCAGCGTATTAGAGTATGTTACTCAGTTGTATCTCTGTAACATATAACTGTCAATAAAAGCCTTCATTATTATTATTATTATTATTATTATATGTATATGGAGTGCAGCCCTACTTTTATGAAAAATAGGTGCAATTGCGAACGGCAGCTCTTCGTCAGTAGGCACTATGGGTTCAAAATGAGTTGAAATAGCAAAAATTCAGTTATCTAGCAATCATAAGGTTGAACAAAAAAAAGATGGGGCGCCACTGCAACTTTTGATTCAAACGAAATGTTACCTGGAAAGTTGAGCAACCAGATAATTAATAATATTAGTTGTTATCCAAGACTGAAAAACCTAAATTTACCTTAGAGATGTTGTGAGTTGAAGTGTCATGTCAATAAACAAATAAAACAGTCATATAAAATACCCAAAACATTTAATTATGAGGGTAGGAGTCATATATCACAGGTTTAGATAAATATGCATAATCAAAAAAAAATAGATACCTGTTTCCTGTTAAGAAAATATACACTGTTGTTGCTTGATATTATGTGAATGAAAATAGATATTAATTAACCTTATATTGTACTTGAAAACTCAAGAGCTCCTGTGAGGTCGTTTTATATTCATAGCAGATTTTTGAAAAATATTAAATGTGGAAGAATTCTACCAGCGCTAGTATACTATGTGGAGGGGAAGTATGTACCTTTCATATGTGATTTCACAAAATTATGACCTGGCTATGATTTAAAAATGGTTCATTATACACACTAGCAAAGGGTATTAGAAGTGAATAAGAATGAGAAATGAAAATATATGTTCTCGCAAAAACCTTTATGGTGTGTCCTACACCAGTTAGTCCTTAATAAATGGCTTCAGTGCCACCAGATGAAGCTGCTGAGAGGGAGGTTGGCGGAGAGCGGGGTGCTGACTTCACATCCATGGATGTCAGATGACATTGATAGAGTTGTCGTATTTCCACTTCGAAAATCCATATCAGGAAAAGTAGGGGACGATATTCAGAGTCCAGATTCCAGACTACTATATAGCCACCGAAGGCCTTGTAGAAATAACAGATCCTGGTAGAGCAATGACTCCTGGTGAGAATAGTGCTCCTGGTAGGATAACTTTCGTTGTAGAACTCCCGGTAAAACTCTTGGTAAAAACCCTTGAATATTTCATGACAATGAGGTTCTGAATTTCTGGACTGCAGAGAGAAAAAACATGGAAATAATGCGAGACTCACCTTCTATGAAGGGTTGGGGATTGAAATGGCCGTTATGACGATGAAGGTAGGCACGTGGCTGCCTGGATGATGAACCAGGAAGATCCTGCCTCTCAAACCAAAACCAGAAAAAATCTGTGGAGTCCAGCAGTCCTTATAGATCAGCAACAAATCCAAGATATCCTGATGTGATTCAGAACGCAAGGCGGTACAGGACTTCAGAAGCCGGTTCACACCACAAAAATGGCACTTGACCACCACGAAGAATTTTATGAAGTGAGCTCTTGTATCACGACCGGAAGAGAAAGCCCTCCGCCACATTTCCAGAAACTTCGAGAACAAATTAACAGTTTCCGCTTTTCAAATTGGCGGAAAATTTGAATATCCGATATAAAAAATGTTATCGCTACTCCCTCCAGAGACTTGATTCTTCCTAGATGTCTATCTGAACCAATCAGAATTGATTACTAAAATAACGTCACACCTTTGGTCCGTTTTCTTCACGAATACTCGGCTAAGTTGGTTCGGCGACAAGTTTGACACTGTTGACATGGTGTCATGACCGACAGCTAATTGGAAGTGAAATAACTGATCAACAAAATCAAAACATCAATCTGAATTTATCAAATACATAAATCACGAAAATGATGCCAACGAATTAAATTGATTCACAATGGTCAACTCCTATAGTGGAACCATCCGCCTCAGCATTCTTGGAAAATCCAATACCTATTGTATTACTGTGATGGGGTTTCAAGTGGAAATAGCAGTGTGAAAAGTGAGTATGACACTGTCTCTGAAATGGTATTTCATATTACTCAATATCATTCATCTCCTTCAGAGGAAGGAACCATCCTTCTACTTGGATCGAAACAGATATAGCAAGAGATATCAACGTATTTATTGAAATAGTATTTTTATTTTATGTACAGTGTGAAATCTCAGGTGTGTATCCACATATCAGGTTTGAGAATAATTATATAATATAAAGCAGATTGAGTTCAATTTATGTTATTGAAAAATGTCAACCATGACATTGTGACAAAATATCCTGTCAGATGTGCTCAGCAGTACAGAATAGTATAGAATCAGACAAAATATACAGTAGTGAAAATTCACATGCTACAGGAGAACCGAACAGGCGAGCTCGGTGGTCGAGGTCGGTGGTCAAGAGCGTGAAGGCGCTGAGTTCGTATGGGGACTCCCACCGAGGCATAGGTTCGAATCCTAGTTAGGCCTTGGATGTTTGTGTTTGTATGTTTACCTAACCCCGCACAAGTTTCGACTTATGGGGCGTTTGGTCCCAGTGCTGGAACCAACGAGGTATGCAATTGCAAAAAAAAAAGAAAGTAGCATGATTCTGAAAATTGGTAGGACCGACTAAAATATTTAAGTTATTATAGAGCTTCCGGTCTCTTCAGAAGTGACGTCAACTGTCATTTTCAATAGGAAACCATGAATTCATTCAACAACATATTTGAATTCCCTCCATGGTTCAAATTCATGTTTTTTACAATACACCTAGAACATACCGTTTTTGAGCTATTCGAGTGTTTCTAGAAAATTTCAAAAATCATCACATACGAATCCCTGGTTCAACAAGAACTGATCTAGAGCGCTGTAACCTTGAAACAAGCATCACCAGCATCCTTGGTGCAAAAACCTCAACCTCTCAGGTGAATCAGAATATGTGAGAGCCAGGAATAACCGCAGCCAAACAATAGATGAATCGGAAGACACATACAATCTCAAAATAGGATCGAAACTTATAGATTGTGCCAATTGCTCTCGTTCGTTCTGGTTTCTTGCTGATGTTGTCGGAAGTAGTTTCACTTTTAGTTTATTTCCACTACTATCCGAAGTCGAAGGCACATGAGCAACGAAATCGCAAGAATAACCACACATTTCTGCAGATATGGAATGGTCTTTCGCCAACGCATTCTGGTTGGTCTCAAAACGATTGAGGCTAACGGCCCTGATGGAATTCCATCCATTATTCTCCAAAAGTGTGCACCAGAGCTGAAAACGTTCTCATAAAAGTTTTTTACCATCTCATTTAAGTAGGGTATCTCTTCATCCTGCTGGAAAATAGCTAGAGTCCAACCAATCCTCAAAAAAGGAGAGAAAAAACTACCCGATAACTGTTGGCTTATTATTGCCCTGTTATCAGTTATCTCCTAAGTGATGGAGAAAGCCATCAACATTGAGCTTATCATATATCTCGAAAGCTCAGGAATCATCGATGATAGATAATATGGCTTCCGCCATTGAAGATAAACTGGAGATTTATTTGCCTTCGTCACCCATATATGGCGAGCTTCAGTAGACAATCATGGGGTGATCACTGTCTGTGGCATCATATATACCTAAAGCTTTCGACCGTGTCTGGCTTCGAGGAATTTTCCACAAACTATCATCAAACGGCTCACCACCTCAGCTATGCCTTCTTTCATAAAAAATCTAAAATAATTTGAAATCGATTCATTCTAGGTATGGATCATGATACATCAGTTTGGAGAAGAGTAATCGGAAGAATTCAAGAATGTCATGAGATACAGAGCGTAATTTCGAAAAAAAATATTACGTCACTCTCGGAGAAACCGGAAGAGTCACAATAACGAGAATATTTGAGTTGGATTCTCCATATTTTCTCCACCGTCCTCAAAGAATTTGAAATCGTGCTACTTTTAATTCTCAATCTTCATATCGCGTCAACTCATGAAGTGGCAACACCGCATAACGGAACATATATTAGTTGGGTAGAGAATGTCCGAATATGCTCTCCATTGAATTTTCGAAGTAATCCTGTGTTTTGATTACCAGAAACGTCTAATGTGCCATACACCGTGCATCAGCCTGTATACCCAAAAACAATATTGATCATAACTGGATTTATGAAAGAATTTTAGACCATGTTTACTATTGGAACACGAAGATATTGTAACGGATGGCGTTGTCAGAAAATGTTCAATCAACTCGTCATATTCAAGAATCAATTATAGACCATGTTATTTCTAATCATGAAGGAAACTAAAAATGGTAGTTCCAGTCAGTAACTGCTCGACTCAAATCTAAATTGGAAAAACAGACACATCAGGAAAATAGTTCTTCTAGATAAATCATCGCAGAGAATTTTGCTTTGGGGCACAGGATAATCGAGGAATTCATACAGCAATGCATATTTTTGGACAGAAGGAGAAATCGTCACCGTCATCGTTATTATGACAATATTGCAAAAAATTGTATTTCTCCAAGTGAATAAGAACTATACCTGTATTTGTTCCATAGTGCTTATGTAGATGATCAACTGATTTTCCACATTCTGTACTTGGTTCTCCTTCTTCTTCCGTTCCTTATCTTCCAAGTCCTTCAATATTCGTATTTGTCCTTTTACACTCAAAAATTCTCGGAGTGTTAAGTCATTATCGAGTTTTCTCTGGATGTCCCGCATTTCCTATATGAAAATCAAACATACTCTGTTAAAGTCCCTCTCAAAATGTGAACATCGATAATAACATTCATTCGATATACAGGGTGTTCCATGAGGAGACTCACATAGCCTAATGGTGAATAGAGGAAACCAAGCCGGGTTAATGTATACATATATATATAATAATATAAATGTTTTGGCAATCCATAACGAAGAAACAGAGTATTATGTGTATTTGTTATATAAGTTTGATGAACGATATTTCAGAGAACTTTCATTGAAATGTGGAAGCACTTGAAACAAAGAGTTTACGCCACAGAGGTGAATACAAGAGGGAAGAGGAGAGAGCGCATAGAAGCAGTGCGTGATGAAATGAAAAATGACAGGCAAACCGTTCAGAAAACTACGAGAATATTTATTGAAGCGATGTAGAAAATGCATCGAAGTTGCTGGAGGACATTAAAAATTTCCTTCAATTGCCTTATTAAATCTTCCACCTGTATTCAATTCCAGAAAATCATTTTGCAAGGATCAGCTACAAGTATGATGAAAATATTCCAGGTCAAATTTGAAAATCCATTCGAATGTAATTTTTTGATATTTTTTCACTAAACTAGTCGAATAGCCGGGAGAATGGGGAAGTTTCCTTCACATGAATTTTCATAAAATAAGTTCGGAACTCTCCAGTTTTATGTCCACGCTGTACGGAATGGCGAACGATAAAGTCCAAGTCGTTTTCATTTTCAAATTAAAGCATTTTTTAATTTTCGGGGCGGCAAACTGTGACGTACATTCTGAATCTAGTCTGAAAATAGCTGATGGTGAAGAATATAGCTAGCGAATAGGTATCGAATGAAAAACGAATGAAAAAAATAGAAGAAGAAGTAAAATTGGTGAACAAAAACATACATAACTACAAATGCACTCGGAGCAGGAATGCAGAGGGTAGTTGGCTTCATTCTGACAAGATATGGTTTTGTTATTTATGCATTGAAATCTCTCGAATAGAGCTCGATCCTAAACGGAAATGTCATTGAATTAATGAATCACTGTCGGCTACATTCAATGATAGTATCCTTCCTAATTTACTGCCATCGGTCAGAACAGAATGAAGCCGGCACCCATTATGCGCTGTTGCAAGATATAATATGCAACAATCCTAGAAAATAGATCCGTTTTATTAATGAACGAATTCATCAGCAAAAAAATGACTGACAAGTTATGAATAACATATTGTAATATAACGATAGTGAAAAATTATAGATACTATCGCAAAATATCTCAATTCATCTCTATTAGTAATCAACTTCATTCATCCAATGAGAGATTTATGGGAATTATTCATAATACTTGACAAAGCAGGATTGAAGAACCTATTACATACCATTGCTGTTATGATATAGTTATTATGCATTCAAAGAACAATTTCCGAAAATCTAGACATGATGATAATGTCGGCAACGTCGTACTGACACAGGCAATCGTATTTTAACTCTGTGTGAATGTGGATTTTCGGAAAATACGTCATAGGGATGGTGGAGGAGCCAAGTTCCTCTGTTATTGATTTTTTTCTGAAGTGAAATTTCATCTTACGAAAAAATGAAAAAAATACGTATATATTAAATTTTTACAAACTTCACAGTTAGATAAAAACCTCAACATAGGAAACTTCCCCATTGAAGCTTGGTTCCTATGGTAAAATCCTGATATTTCAGAATCTAGAAAAAAGATCTGCGTAACATGTTTTTTCCAAAACCACAAGACGACATTGTTATAAAGAAAGTTGTCATTTATGAAAGTTTGGCAGCCCAATGAAAAATTTTCGTATTATTTTTTCATTATATTTGCATTTTCTTAGAAGAACCTGATCATTTTTCATAAGCACTTATTGCATAAGTGAAATATTCATGTATTCTTTGAAGAATAATATATGTATCCACTGTGCATATGCTTGATGATCCATTTTTCAAAATAAACGCTGAATAAAATGGAAATATTCATATTTTGCTGGGGTTTTTGAGAATTTGGGTCCCCTGCGCCACGAAGATTGTGATCACATTCTAATATATACGCTTCAAGGCACTCACGATGTTCCATGAAATTTTAGAGAGTTGACTGATATAAGGCACACATAGTGTGCCTTGAACCCTAAAAAGCCGAAATGGCAAGGCACATACCTAGTGCCTTGTGGCAGTCAACGTGTTAAGCAGTTGTTCGAAAGGACAAATCCACCTTTCCTAAATCTGAATTCACATTATAATACAATATCGGCAATCACCCCATCATCAGCTAATATGTAGAAGAAGAGCAAATAAATATATATCTAGAGAACTGAACCCTAGACGACCTTTTGTCATTATCTGAGTTAAAGTAAATTTTCAATTATGTCGTCTCCTTAACATTCATTAAGTAAACAGTAGTTACTAGAGAGAAATAGGTTTCAGACTATCTAAGTCGTTATGGGATCACGAGAGTTATCGCCTGTGAAGCGTTTTTAGTCGACTTTGGCAGCACCCAGTATACATATTCAAGAGAAAAATTGAAATATTTTTCATAATTAATACTATATAATGTTTTTGATTATAGGAGTCATCATCAGGCTATTGAAAAAAATAGTTGACATAATTACCTTGTTGGGTAGGAGGAGAAAGAATTAGAGTTCAGAACATAGCTCGGTAAGGCATATTCAGCCGTATATTGAAGAAAAAACATTTTCGGATTCAGGTTTCCTGGACCCCTAGATGAACATTTTCTAATTATTGCTTAACTTCCGTTTCCAAGAAACTCATACCTTTTTTAAAAAATACTACTCGAAAGAATACAGGTAGAAATATTTGACAAACGAGTGACAAAAGGACCGTGACTTCAAAGTTCATGACAAAATGAGAAAAAGTGTCTAGATTAAACAAGTCGTTTATTCAGAATTCTCATATTTTTCAACATTGGATGGGAATATAAAACAAAGAGATTGCTCATGCAACAGATGATTGGAGTAGAAGATTACAATATGGAATTGAAAGAAGGCAATCAAATCTAAAGTGTTCATGAAGACAGATGGTTTATCCGAGATCATCATGCTCGGAATGGACACATACATACCTTATTCTTCGAAAAAATCATCACCATCAAAACCCTGGTTCAGCAGAAACTGTTCTAGAACTGTTGCCTTGAAACAAACAGCCTACCATCGCTGGCGCAAAAACCCTAACCTCGCGACTAGAGCAGACTACGTTGATGGCAGGAATAACTGCAGCAAATAGATACTTCGAAATTTCGTTTTTATCGACAGCGCCTTAGGGCTAGATTGAACACTGTTTAGAGGCTAGGTTGGTCACTGTGGAAAACCTGGAAAATCTTCTGGTGCCAGATAGGAAGAAACCCAAATTTCAAGGGGTAGGTTGATTAAATTTGATTATAGAAGTCAGTTTCAACTCTAGGTATCAAGTGTAAGGATATTGATTAGACTTTATATATGGGAAAGTTTGCCTTACAACTAGATTAATTTCAGCTAAATTAATTGATCAAATCATTTCATGAGACATTTTATTAGTCGGTCTGTTCATCTCGAAGTTTCTGTTCGCAGTACGTTTATCCTGAATTCCAGTGTGGTAGAACTTTTTACTTGAACTTGATAGTCAATGCAGAGCCGGGATTGGCGCAGTGGAAGAGCGTCCGTATCACGACCGCAAGGTCGTGGGTTCTATTTCCAGCACGGGCAAGGAACTTTTTTCAATATTTTATTTACGAATTGAATATTGTGAAGTTTCGGAGCATCGGTTGGGGATAGTCCTGCACGATTCGATGTTGCGTTCCAATTAACAGTGCTGCTCCTAAGGTGGCACATGGAGTTAGTAACGAAGCCTACACAGAACACGCAGGAAGATATGATGATGTGGTTGTGAGCATCAGAGAAGAAGTAGGACGGTGAATGTAGGTGGGTGTGGAAAACTACCAGCTGAGCGTGAGAGCGGGCCAGCTGCTTAAGTAGACCTCGGTCTCGGGGGTTAACGATGATAGTTAGCAGGCCTGCCGCTGCGCATATGGTAGTGAGTACATTACTAGCCTGCAAAACACAGCTGGAAAACTCTGAAAAGAGAGCTGATGGGCGGTGCCTGAAAAGGATGTTAGCCAGCTCTCTTGAGCAAACCACATCAGTCATTGAAAACACTTGGGGTTTGCAAAAAGGTCCCATTGTGGACTAGTTGCTGACGTGGAAACGTCCCCCACCAGTACCAGTACCAGTGATAGTCAATGCAGATAGAATTTTGGTTTTGCTCTAACTCAAATGACTGAAGAAGTTCCATCTAGAACTTGACAACTTCTATGGCTTTATTATGTAAAACTACCAACCTCGCTGATTGAATTATCAGTTACTCCCAGAATATTTTTTATGTTGACAAGCAACTATGGTCTAGTACTTCTATTGCCATGGTATACCATATTTTACCAGAAAGTAACCTAATTTGAATCCTGTATTCCAATTTAATGCCATAAAAGTGTAATGAGCAATTTTTGGCATTGTATATAAAACATGGGTATCTCTCTACTTGAATTGATTGTGGAAAAATAAGTAAATCAGTGTGGTAAACACATCCACAGATGCATGAATGGTTATTATTATGGAGTTGAATATGAGATAAAATCTGATTTTGGGAAACACCTAGCCTTTGACAGTGCAGGTGAAATCAGTATGTTAGCTACAATTTGACGAGGCTGTCAAGCAAGTGTTATCAGATGTTGTTGACAAGCAACTATGGTCTAGTACTTCTATTGCCATGGTATACCATATTTTACCAGAAAGTAACCTAGTATGAATCCTGTATTCCAATTTAATGCCATAAAAGTGTAATGAGCCATTTTTGGCATTGTATATAAAACATGGGTATCTCTCTACTTGAATTGATTGTGGAAAAATAAGTAAATCAGTGTGGTAAACACATCCACAGATGCATGAATGGTTATTATTATGGAGTTGAATATGAGATAAAATCTGATTTTGGGAAACACCTAGCCTTTGACAGTGCAGGTGAAATCAGTATGTTAGCTACAATTTGACGAGGCTGTCAAGCAAGTGTTATCAGATGTTGTTGTGCTTTTGGGAAACAGTAATTGAATATGTATCATTGGATAGCTGTCTAGTCACTTGGGTGGGTGATAGTAGCTATTTCTTGGTTTTGTTTCTTTTTTTACTTTTCCTGGGGATTTTGATATTAGGGAATTAGGTCAAGGTACTGACATTTTTCTTCCTTAGGGTTTTGGTTGCAGGCTTGGTTGTGAGACCACGATTTCCCTGAATTGTTCGACCTAAAGGCTATACAGGGTGACCCAACCGAAGTTTACCTAGGATGACCCATGTGAACTTGTACCAGGTGGATCACTTGGAGACTATACAGGGTGACCCATTGGAAGCCTATACAGGTTGGCCCAGTCAAGGAATATACAGGCTGGTTCTGAGTTTGCAACCATCGAGGGGCCCGATTCATGAAACCTCCTTTTTATCTTCAATAACCCTACCAACTGTCTAATGAAAAATGGAAAAAATATTACATTTGCAGACGGCAGCTTTTCATCACAGAACTGATAAGTGAGTTCGAGGTACAACTAGATGCATACAAATTCAAGTTTTCAAGACGCGCCACTCAATTTGAAGAAAATATTTTAGTTCGGATAATTGAAAAAACCGAATGCTCCATATGATAGAAAAATTCTGATAATGAAGATGTAGTATTTCCTCAGATCGTGGATGGCAGACAATTAGATGAATAAAATGAATAAAATGCAGGATTTGTTCGAAACCTATTCAATTCCTGCAGAAACAGACAAGGCACATTTGGACCTGTGAGGAGGCTAATGAAATATTTGTGACTTCAAGTGTGATGGAAGTTGAGTATCATTAACGAATCAAATTAGCATAGCTATCAGAGGACACGAGTTCATGAACTTAATAGTACCAAACAGATGTACCAATGATTAAATGGGGAATAATTCAAAAAAACCAAAGGAGTCAAGCGCAAAACCTACAGCTGTCGCATAGCGCTATGACTGGGCCTTACGTTCAAGGTATTGAATGATTGATACTTGAATAGATTCCCTAACAAAAACCTGATACAACAGCCTCTTCAGAAATCAAAATAACCCCGATCACAGTCCCTTTTCTCAAGATGGGCAGCATAGGTCAGTGCCAACAGCACCAACATGAAGGGGGGCTCCTCCACAAATCTTCCGGGCTGAACTCTGCGGTCTCTCTCTCCCTGGTATTCCTTCTGGCGCTACCACGGAGTTGAGCACAGCAAATTGCCTTCTGGCTCACTCTGGTCGAACCTAGAGGTCTCCGCAGTCCCCGTGGCGTCGAAAATGTCAAAGTATCAGGACATTCTGACTAGTGGAAAGTGAGGTCCTCGATGGACGCAGCGTCAGCATAGAGCATTATCTCACAACCCTGTTATAGAAACAAGTCCATTCAACCCCAGGTCAGAGCACGTGGAAAATAGAGGAACCTTCCAGAAAACGATGTGTTCTTATCCAAACAGACCAACTGACTATCGACTCACCTTCTCAGAAGGGCTAATCCGGCGTCATCGAAGTAGCAAACACGGGGTAAGGCTCCAGGTGGCTGCTCCCGCGTGGCGACATCAATTTGGCTCAAATCAACGACGTTGAAGAAAAGTCAATAGCTCATAAGACTCACTTGAACAAATCCCCTGTGAGGGCCATCGATATAAACCGATTTACAGTCTTCTTGTTGAACCAGAAAAATCTTCAAGTGTCTCTCGTCATGATCAGTGGGCGAAAGTCACGAGACCAAAAATCCTCCCAAACCTAAATGTTTCCCTAAATTTGTCGAAAAAAATCCCCAAATCCATCTTGCCAATATAAGAAGTAGAAGGTCCCTTCAGAAAGAATTCTGTTTGACTAGAGTTACACCAGTGGTTGTTTGTAAAACCCTGTCAAGACAGGTGAAAGAAACCGCTGACAAGACAGGTGACTCAGGAAGTCAGGAAGAAAAATCCCAAACAAATAACAATAAGAGATTCTTCAAAAAGGACGCGTTCTAGTAGAACAGTCAACCTAATGATGCCTGAAATAGCCAAGCACATCTATTCATGATATTCGGAGAACATCACAGGTGAGTCATAGTTTTTTTATAAACTAAATGAAAATTAATTGATTAACTTCTCTCCCCTCTCCTCCCCCTCTCTCCCGATTGATACCAATTGTATCAACATAATTATTTGTAGTACAATGACTTTTCAATGAAGTATTTTTTAAAAATTCACTGTATTCAGGAGGCAGTATTTTAGTCAACTTTGATCATCAATAACTCAACTTTTTTTTATGCAAATATACTACTCAATAATCAAATTTTTCAATCCCACAAAAATGCTCTATCGACATGATTGTCTTTTCTAAAGAACGAATGATACTGTCTATAAAAAACATTACAAAATAAAAGTTTGAGTTGTTTCAAACAACGAGGTTCAATTTCAAGAGGTACACCCTCTACCTATACAACATATGTTGATTTGATATAAAAATACCATTGAAATGTGAGAATTTACCTCTGAATGTCCAAAAAAGTCATTTTGAGTTCTTTTTCTTAGTGCAACAAGTTTAGAGCACCAGTCCTCCCGTTGATCGTATGCCATCGTAGCACGTTCTATCCATTCTGTTATCACTCTCTCTTCAACGTTTATATCTTTCAGTAGGTTTTTCCACACGAAGTTGAAATGACTCCTAGAAAAAATGTATTTATAATATTGTGATGATATTCTTCTGCATCGTCATTGAATAGGCAAGGCTACAACGATCTCCGTATATGACGCGATCCTTATTGTTCTCGAACATCCCAATACTGTTTACATGTACCAGCGTTACCCACACTGAGAAAAGTCCCAGGAGAAAGTTCTTTGCTAAGTTTTTTTTCTACCTGTCCTAGGAAAAAAAGTAAGAAGCGTAGTAATATAGCATGGTTCCACAGAAAAATTCACTTTCCTGAAATCATTACACTGGTACTCCATAGAAACTTGCTGTCACGAGAAGAAACTGTGGTGTTGGAGGAGAATTATAATTCTATAAAATTATTCCTACTTTCATAAAAGTGTACTCTTCTAGAATAGATAGGTATCTTACAATTGTAGCGAAGAAGTTTTCATCAATATTTCTTGATGGGCGATTCATGCTAAGGAGTACGCCCCCTACCGTTTATGATCATAACTAACGCAGGAGCCATAGAATCGTTTGTTTACATTATCTGCCATATGCTTACTGTTGGATTCCTTTATCATAAAAGAGTTTTTGCTCAAAAGTCGAATTACTACATTGAAGACATGAATCATTATTGTTGTGTACCTCACTGCTCTTCTTGGGCGAAGAAAAATCCGGAAATCAGTTTTCACACCTTCCCAAATATTGGCAAATCCAGAGTCCTGTTCCAAACCAAATAAGGTAACAAAGAATTGATGGGCAGGAGTACCCATTGGGAATTTAGTTTGAATCTATACACATTTTTCTAAAGTGAAATTTATTGATGGAAGAAACTGAAGAATTGTACAGTAATCCATAAATAAGTTTCAGCTCCTTGGTTATCACATAGAGCATGCAACATCTTATCAAAATATCTATCTTTATAATGGATAACATATTTGTTGAGGATTCATGATCGACATTATTCGCCATAATGAGTATACTATCATCAAATGATGCATAGATAACAATGACTCCATCAGGAAAATATCCCAGCCATTGATTTGAGTTGGAAATTATCATTCCACACTCGAACACTTCTGCCCCAGTAATCTTCATAAATACTATTCTGGCTCTATGTTCCCACTGTGATCCATGTCGAACATACTTATTGTTGATTGGATTGGCAAATAAATATTTGAGTGATTTAGTATTCCATCATCATTCTTAGAGTAAGTATAGAACTCATAGCATCGACTACCAGTTACTTTATATTTTCTTTGCTTCATCCAATCTTTGGAGTGTTGCAGGAAGTTGATTGTCTCATTATCTTCCTCAAAAATTTCCGAAATTCGTTGTGAACAACAATTTCTCATTTGATCAATCTCAACTGGAGCCAGGTGCATCATACAAGCTGACTGACTTGATTGATCTAGAATGGCTTGAGTATACTCATTCTGATGAGGGCATGAATCAACTGACTGGTTATCCATATCTCCTCCACTTTCTTCCCGTCTTTCCTGTCTTCAGGTCATAAAAATGGTAGTATAAATAAATTGTTTTCAAAAATTGAATGCGTGAGACAGGCCTATGCTTGGCTACAGCAGAATTGAGAAAATTTTGACCAAAAAAAAATCAATATATCTTCCTTGTTTACAGCCATATCAGGTCACGTCACTTTTTTTTTCAAACAAGGCATCTCATCAATAGATACTGGTCTGTATCTTTCCTTAGTTAAATTTTTTGTGTTGACCAGACACATTTTATGTCTGTTGGGGAAATTTGCTCCAACATCTTCCCTGAAAAACAGAATAGGAGTGAATTTATATTGCTGAGCATCATGAAAATTCCCCTACCTCATGTATTTTACGAGAAATGCTGACATACGTTTGCTTTTACCACCATTTTCTGCCTCGCAAGAGCATGACATGTTTCTAATCACTACTCTGTGGTCAATGCCTAATGTTCCTTTGTTTTCATGAAGATCACAATCATGGGCTTGTAAGCACAGGGCATAAACTTGAATGTGATGATTCGTTGCCTCTGTTTTACCAGCCAAAATAAGGTTACCAGTATTGAGAACATTCTTCCCTTCTACTACACTTTTGGAGCTCTAAGTTCCACTTAGATATCGCATAAATTCCAAAATACTCAACTTCATTTTGAAGAGAGTACCTGAAATTTAAATCTCTCAAAGTACCGGTTCTTTCCTTCTCAATTTCAGAATAAAACTCACTTTGTCCTTATATACTTCCTTTTCAACTTGAAGATTTACTTTCAGCAATTATAAATGTCCAGAATCAGAACGGTACCACACCCAAACACTAGTAACTTATACCACAGTGAACACAAATTACAAATAACGAAAACCAGCTTAACACTTTGAAAACTCGAGATGAAATGATATGATCAATGCTTTCAAACGATGTAAACAAACTGGTAATGGCCCATATAGTGGTTCCAATTTCTACCGTTCTGGCGCAACGATCTTAATCTCAGTCGCCTATAGTAACAGTTATCTACTCTGAACTCCCAGTAAAAAAAAATAGCTGGAAGCAGAGATGTATAGAAATTTAACTGGTGGGCTCACTCTTCAATTGTTTCGTCAGACTAACTCTCGATATGGAACAATTGCAAGCGAGTTTTGGACGTGGGGTTCAGGTATTTGCGATATAGGCGCCATAATCGGAAAATCGTTCAGAACCTTGGTTCTGTGAGGGATGAATCTATTATTTCCATCATTGCTCTGTGGTCGAATAAATACTGTGCTTGACATTTTCATTCAAATTTCAATTTGAAATAGAAGCAAGAAATCTTTTTGGTAGCCGATTTTAATAAGCTTTACTTCTTTCATGACATGAACCTATTCAAAGCATAAAATCTGATGAATTTCCTCTCTGAAGAACCAGAACAAAGGATGTATCATAATAGGCAGATATGGTAACTGGTACTCACCTTAGAATTTATTCACACCAGTTCACGCTAATATTTCAAATCACTGAAATAATACTGTTGTAGAACAGAGATTTTTTTTTCTATGGTGGATTAGGTATTGTACACCAAATTTAGAAACTACGGAACACGTCCCTAACGAACACTTGACCCCAATCCACCAGCTCAAGAATATTTTTGACATATTGACGTTTCGATCCTTTGATCAGGAATAAGTTCACTGCTCTGATCCAAATTATATACGTATCCAAATATTTATCGGTCGATAATATGTTTCCTGTTAATATGTTTATCAAAGGTTTGTCACAGTAGGCGCCATCGAGAAACTTGCAAACAAAATTCAATAGGGAGCAAGCGCACTAGTTAAATTTCTATATATCTCTCTGGAAGCGGTTCGGACTCGTTCGAACATGCTAATACCGCAGTTGGGTTCCAGAGTCTTTCGTGGCAGCGTTACCAACTAGTAGGGAATGTCCAAACTGCAAGTAATCTCAAGTTGTGAATCTATTGGGGATTGGCATCATGCGGGAAAAATACGCGTATTTTGATATCTCATCGATGAATAATATGTGATGATATCTAATTCCTGAAGAACACCGAATACTTACATTATTGGTATTATTCTAACAATTTTTCAGGTTCATTATGGATAATGAACTCTCTCCATAGTCCATATACAAAAACTCACTGTTTATTGCACCATTTTTGAATTTCTTTTCTTCATTATTTTATCCTCTCTTGAATTGGCATTGGCAACGCTGCTCGATATTTTGATTCCATTCACCGCAAAGGCGCAGGTCTGCAGGTGGTGCTTCATTCTTATTGTTACCGGGTTTTCTCAAGTAATATGTGATAGTGGCCTATGACCTTCGAGTTTGGGTACCTAATGTAAGTAATGTGCATACATTACTTCCTTCAAGATCAAGAGATTTCTATATAAAGGTATGTCTTGTTTATTTACTGGCTGAATATAAATTAACAATCCATGGTTCGACTGAAACGCGTGCCCCTTCGTAGAATTCGTGTGTATGTTACTTGAATAGGTATCAAATCAAGATGGCCAACGACGAAATCAACGAGCAATTTGAAGTTCACCTAAAAAACTGGGATTCAGCCGACTACGTGGAAAATTTTGAAAGTAGGTAGTGCAAATCAATTATAAATTCTCCGAGAAAACGAAACATTGGTAGGTAACTGTTTGAATCATCGTTAATTCTACTTGAAGACACAAATAATGTTTGATTTCATGAGAAGATTATACTAAACGACGTACCCACGCATCCTTGCTTGTAGTCACCGCAAATGTATAGCACACACATAACCTTTCGAACATTTATAATAGAAGGACGTATACTTAAATTGACTCTTTTCTGCTATTATCTTTTTATCAAATTGGCCAAAAAAATGATCTTCTCAATTACAACCCGACCCTCAAATTGTATCCAATAATTTCAATCGGTTTGTTTTCATATTCTTGTCAGATAAAAAAGTTTTCGTAGAGAATTGAAAAAATTATGGATATTTTAAGGACTCGTGGCATTACCTTCGATGATCATAATATGTCTGTCTGCATTGGTAGGTAATCGTACAGTTTATATACGCGACCTTTCGTTCACAGATAGTTGTCTAATATCAGTTTTTCCGTTGGTGAAAATTTGATTTATTTCTATGGTAAAACTGCATGTACCATATACAGGGTGCTTCCAAATTCGTTGTAATTATTTCAAGGACGTATTGTTGTGACGAAAATGATATTTTTTTTTTCGAATATACAATGATTGTGTTTTAAAATGTTCGGGCTACAGCCACTGTTAGTTCTATAAAACAAAACGATTACCTATGTACCTATTCAAAATAGTGACTTCAAAAACGGATACTTCTGAAAATTAGTATACCTACCCCGGTTTTTTGAGGCACTATATTTATTTTTTGCTCTAAAAATAATGCAAAATCAGTTATGGAACAGTTGGGGCGCTCGGACTTGGTGGGGGGATATATTTTAGGACACATATTCGCCCGAAATAGTTGAAGAACTGTCGAAAAAGTTTTCTTAGAATATCACGAGGAATCACTCCCTGAAGTCACTATTCATTATTCAT